CAGCCTCCTCTTTTGGAATAAGTGTAATATAGGCTTCTGACCATGATTTAGGTATCTTCTTCTTTAACATAATTTCATTCATAACTTCTAGCAATGGAAGATTCAGCGATTCTTGTAATGTTTTGTAAAATTCTGCTGGAAGTCCATCTGGGCCTGGTGCCTTTCCATTATTTTGCTTCTTGAGTGCTTCAGTTAAGTTCATCATCGTTATATTGCTTTTTAACATTGTTTCTATCTCTTTAGGTATCTGAGGTAAATTAGCATTCTGTAAGTACTGTTTAACTCTTTCCTCATCAATATTCTCTTGCATATATAGTTTCCCATAGAAGTCTCGAATGATTTCCTTCTTCTCGTTACTACCATAGCATACTTGGCTTTGGTCATCTGTTAATTGCAATATTTTCCTTGATTCTTTCTCAGTTTGTATGCTAACCATCTACCTGGTTTGTTTGTGTCTTCAAAGTAGTTCTGTTTAGCACCTCTAATTTTCTGTGCTATTTCTTCTTTTTCTATTTGACCCATTTTATGTTTAACTATATCCATTTTTAGCTTGATGTCCTTTTTCTGTGGCATTTTCTGTAGCTCTTTTTCAAGTCTTTTATACTCATCCTCTAGGGTCTTAGAGGCTAATCTTTTCATAATATTTCTTTTCCTTGTATAGTCTATTATCAAGCCTCTAACATATGCCTTCATTGTATCCCATACATTCTGAACTGATGTATCTTCTTTTTTGTTTTCTCTAAAGAAAAAAGCCAATTCTTTCTCCATCCACTGTGTGAAGTCTTTTTCCTTTAAAATAGTATTATTTAACGTCCATCTAGATCTTCTTTTTTGTCCTTTCCATTTAATTGTCATTGGATTGTGATCTGCCCAAGTACTTGTTTCAATATTTATTTCTTGAATATTAGTTATTAATTCTGTTGACATCCATATCATATCTATTCTGGATCATGATAAGCGTCTATTTGAATAGAAGGTGTATTGTTTAGTTTTAGCATTTCTTTCTCTCCATGTATCTTTTAAGTTTATTTCATCTACCATTTTAAAAAAAGATTTAGGGAGAGTCTTTTTGTTTTCTGTGCTGTATAGTCCAAGTTTCGCTCCATTAGGTAACACCAAATAAAGAAGTGAACTTTATTGGATCTTACTGTCTCTTCACTGGGTTTGGGCCTTCGTCCTGCCTACATCATAGTCACCATGTTTGATTTGGGCAGCTATAATAAATTGTTTAATAAATAAATATTTATAGTGCTACATTCTACATTAAATATGACTTCCAGACTGGGGAAGGAAATCCTTCATTAATATAACCAGAAGAATTAGGACATCTACTAAACCTATCTTCCACACTGGAAACTAAATTTTACCTAACATGATAAAATATGAAACTTGCCTCCCACTGCATCTTCCTTGATGCCAAATCATTGAGAGTTCTGAATGCCCTCCTTCTCCTCTGCTTCTTATGAATTAAACTTTACAATGTATACATTTTTAACCTGGATGTAAAATGTATTAGCATGTTATGTGGTTGGCTATTTATCTCTATCCTCATGGATGTTTAGAAGGCAATGTTTTGTCTGTTTGGTGGTTAGATTTGTGTCTGTTGTACAAAGGTGCAACAACCCACTCTTTAGTTTACATTTGGTTACAATTTAAAATCCTCTCGTAAATATTTCAGACACTGGAATAATTCAGCCTTATTCCCTGGTTGCCGTAGTGTGGTCTGGGCTGGCCAGCGAGAGATTAAAATTTATTTCCATTGTTTAAGGGAAAATAATGAACTGCATCTGTTGGAGCTCTCACGTGTCATGGGGGAACTGTTCACTTTGGAACAAGGTCCCAACTCCACCTAGACTGTCAAATGACGAAACCTTTTTGGCACACAAAAGCAACACGTTTTGGGGCAGGAATGCAAAGACACTCTTAATGTAAAGTATGACAAGTGCCTTTTGGAATGAATTAAACTCATATTGAGGAGAGAGAGAGCAGGAAAGAGAATGCATTTGTTCAGTCAGCATAAAAATGGTCTAGAAAGGAAAAGCAGTTTTCCTGCCCTGATCCCTTCCCTCTCCAAAGAAAGGGAGGAGAAAGGAAAGGAAATAATTTATCAGCTGTTAAAGGCTTTTTTTACAATGGGATATCTAGGATTAAGGCAATCTTCCTTGCACCTTGTGAAGTTTGTATTCTTTTCCCTCTGCCATTACCTCCTAGATTCCAATCCTACTTTTTCCTTCCTGTCTCGTCACAAACATGAGCTGAAGCTCACAACTATAATGTTTCCCTGAATCTGAGGGTGTTTTCAATGTTTTCTTTATCATTGCAGCTTCCTCATATTTGCAATTTTGTCTTGCCTGCTCTTAACTTGGAAATGGAGCTTTCATTTTATTTCTAGGCTATTTATATGTTGTCAAAGCGTGTTTTCTTTATTTTTATTTCATATTTCTTAACCACCCATCTCCTTTCCTTTACAAGTGTTGTCTCCCTCGTGCCTCTTTTTGTCTCTTTAATATTCTATGATGGGTTACACACAATATGTTTCAGTTAGACACCTAGCAGCAACCACTGTTTCTGAATGAGAGAATATTCAGGTCAGATTAAGGGAAAATGAATGATGGAAGAAAGAGATTAAAAGGAAGCAGGTTAGCCTGTGGAACTCAGTACAGCAAGATGCAATGATGGGCACCAATTTGGAAACTTCCTTCCTTCCTTCCCTTCCTTCCTTCCTTCCTTCCTTCCTTCCTTCCTTCCTTCCTTCCTTCCTTCCTTCCTTCCTTCCTTCCTTCCTCACAATCTCCCACTTTCTCGCCCTGATATTTTTTGTGTATGCAAAAATGTGTGATATTTTTTCCCCTGCATATTTCCCAGCAAGGCAGTCCCCCACTCCCCTATCACTTTCATGCAAATTCAGGGTCCGCTTTTTTTTTTTTGATCAATGATGTTTTGGTCCATTTGATTGCAACAGGAATTGACCAACTAGCTTGTCACCCAAGTTTGACGTTATGGACTGAAAGAGAATGACTCATCCAAAGTTAGCCAGCCTACTAAAGTGGGATTAGAACACCACAGTGTGGAAAAAGACACATCACCAATGCTAAAGGCATCTCCAACTTTCAGATTTTTGGAAGAAGCAATCCTTTGCCTCAAACATAAAAAAAATATTCTTTATTTTATCCAAAGCGCTTTATTTAATGTGATTAGAAATGAGCACAAGAGTAAAGTTTACAAAGAAGAAAACAAATCACTCAATAAAACACAAAGCAAGGATAAAACTTTGGGCAAAAAACCCCCCCATTGACATAAGTTCTTTAGCCATTCCATCAGATGTCAGGAAAATAAGGGAAGGAAATCAGGGACAAATATCTATGGAAATTCTCAGTCATCCAGGTTGTTCCAAAAGGTGCTTTTTCAAAGGCAACTGGCCTTTATTTTTCCTTTAAAACGTTTCACTTCCCATCCAAGAGAACTGAAGAAACTTCTTGCATGAGAAGCGAAATGTTTTCAAGGAAAAACAAAGTCCTGTTGCCTTTTGAAAAAGCACTTTTGGGAAATCAGGGACAGTATTTACTCTGTTGAGAAGCCAACTCATCAAACCTTGCCTCTCCCCTACTTGTAATCTTGAACCTACCCCATCAGATAGCAGGAATGAGAAAGGCAGGAAGTGTAATTACCATGTTAGCATACCAATGAGATTGGTGCCTTGGCTTCTTCCTGTCTTTGAGCTGTTTCCATTCTGACTTTCAGTAGTCCATCTCTCAAAAGAGTGTTATGATCAGATCTACAAACATTACAGCTTTATAACACAAGGGCTATGTTCCTTTGCTTTCTCCATTCCTCTTCCTTTGAGTTGTGTTATTTTTAGAAGCCACTTGGGAAGCAACTTTGAATAAAGTAATGACCATACCCATCTAAGGAGGAGGAGGAGGAGGAGGAGAAAGAAAACAAAGAATGAATGGTTTTGTTCAGTCCTTAAAGATAGTGGTGATGGCGAATAAATATCATTGGGAAAGACATTCCAAAGTTCTATAAGTTTCATCTCAGATAGGACATAGATAATGCAAACTAATCTTCAGTAAATTTACTCCAGGAAGACTCATTTGAATTTTTGGAGACTAGAGAAAGGATGACCATTTTCTTAATTCAGCCAATATTTCATTCATTGCCATGTTATCTGAATATTTAAGGCTTAAATGATTGGCATGTACTTTATCTGCGCATGAGATGTCATGCATTTGTTATGTTTATGTACCATCTTTCCACCAGGAGCTCATGGTGGAATATAGCGAAACCCTTTCTCTTATTTTTCCCCATAACATCAACTCTGCTCTTGAAAGCTGAGGGTGATTTGAATACAAGTATCCCTGGTCCTATTTTAGTGTTTTTACCACTGACTCACACTGGGATCTTCCCTTTCTATCTATTCACAGCTTTTTGAAAGAAAGTTGGAGACACTGTCTGCTAAGAAATTTGGGAACTACTATGTACAGTCTGTGGCATCAAAGCATGACAATCTTGTTAATATCCTTAGGGTTGATGTTTAGTACAGGCTTAATTGTTTTACATGAAGATTCAACTCAAATATTTGGTTTATAAATCAACTCATCTCTTTGTACTAAAACTTGTCTGGCATATTGAATTAAATCAGGTCCGTTCAAATTGGTTTGGTGATCAAGTTAGACTTTTACAGATATGTCCCCACACTTTTTTTAAACTGATGAACAAGATCAAATCATGTTTATTTGGTTGTTTGAATGCACAATCCAAACTGAATCAATTCAGCTGATTCATTTCATCTTGGGCAAGTACACATTGCTGCTACTATTGCAATCAAGATATAAAAGCTATTTTTCCTCCCATTTAATAGGTTAATCCCTATAAGGACTGGATTTACTTTTGCAAAAGAAGAATGTGAGCTTAAACTTGGCTAGGCAATGAAACATGGACCAGGGAGATGTAATTTATCTGCCTTTCTCTTTTTTGCTTTTTGTTTTTTTAACATCCAGGTTGTATTATCAACAACAGTGAATGTTGACGGGCATGTCCTGGCAGTATCAGACAATATGTTTGTTCACAACAACTCAAAACATGGGCGAAGAGCAAGGAGACTTGATCCTTCAGAAGGTATGTTTACTTCACTGGTTTTCAGGGTGATGGTGGAAGAAGTCATCCAAGATTGGCTACCTTCAAAATAACTTGTCTGGTGACATGAGTTTTAACCATAAACCTCCATCCCAATGTTTTTACACGCCTGGATTCCTCCAGGATAAAGTTTTTCCCAAAGTCTTCCAAAACCTGATGCCAGTTTATAATTTTTAACAAAGGTTAGGAAGGAAAAATGATTTACAAATATAAGTGGAGAATAATCAGTTTGTGATTAATTTGAATACATTTTTAAGATCAGCGAGATCCAATTGAATTGAGTTTATCTCCTGGCCTCGTGTACTATTTTTGGCTAGTCACTTCCCAAGTCCTCCCAAATGCCAAAATATGACAAGTTGCACATTCCTATACTTGTTTTTTGCACAACCTAACATATTCCAAGGATGTCCTTTGAGAGCACATTTGGATACATTTCTTTTCTTCTTTCTTATCAAGAGTGCCTTATTAGTCCTCCTGGTCATGAGAGTGATGGGCATACATTCAAAGAAATGCTCTTAGTGTGCATTATTTTTACATTTGACCTGAATGCATGGCATTTTAAGGACATAAAGGATACTGTAGAAATATTGATTGGTGGACATATTTGCATGTCTACTTTGTATATACTGAGCGGTATCTCAGTACTCACTATTGATTGATATCCAGGAGGCACAATGAAGACCAAAAACAATGAGCACCAAACAAAATTTTCCCATAAGGAATAATGTAGTGAGTCACAAGGTAGCCGACATCAACTTCTAGCTTGTACGTTGAGTACCAAATAAACAATAAATATTGGGCAAAATTTTTATGTCAAAATGAATTGAGTTGCAAATTTGATGAGGCTCAAAGCAGTTGAGTAGCAAGGTACCACTGTATATCCAACACTACTGTATATGATGGAACTACATTTTCCTGAAATCTATCTTGAAGAACTCCCAAGTTATATGGTCCATCATCTCATTGATGAATGAAATGTGTAGCTGCTCACCTATAGAAGGCGTCATTTCTTCCCCAAACCCCCAAAACTTCAACATTAGACTGTCTACTATTGACCTCACCCCTTTCCTAAGCGGTCTGTAGGGGGCGTGCATAAGTGCACCAAAGTGCCTACCGCCCCTGTCCAATTGTTTCTTTTATTTTCTTATATGTGTCCATGTATTCATAACTATGTTTATACTTATACCTATCATCTTGTAAGCAATTGACAAATCAAATAAATAAATAAACAAACAAACAAATAAATAAATATACCAAACTTCCAAAGCAGTTTAAGTAATCTCAAATACTCTAGCCAAGCAGGAAATTCTCTCAATTTTATAACATCTTGTTTTCTAATTTGAAGCTGATGGTTCTCTTTAAGTACATATTAGAAAAATACTGCCTCATCAAGGGGTGACCAAGACAAAGATATGGATGGGTTCTCTGCCTGGAAATGGGGAAAGTTGTCAAAATATCATCTCAGAAAGGATACCATGGCTCACCATGAGTCAAATGTAGTTCATCATCCTTGCAACAAATTTTTAAATGTCCGAAGATGACTTCCCAATTTCTTTCTAATCATCCCTCATTTCAGGCTATGCATAACCAGTTACTTCCAGCTTTTCTAATCAGAATTGACCTCCAATCTTTTACTACCCTTGTTTCCTTCTGGACATACTGTATAGTATTATTATGACTAGCTGTTGTTGTCTATCGTTAAACTTTTCTAATTCTTAAGTTTTTAATCTTTCATTATTCTTTGTTCATATTTAAACATCATACTAACTTGAACTTCATCTTGTCACATAGGAGGGCCAGTTCACCAAAGCTTTTTCATAAATTAGCATAACAGTTTCTACAGAATTTAAAAATATACCCAGAAAAAAATATGTAACAAAAAAGTTACTGCAAATCAGAATTATTTCCCCCACCATTTTATTTTGGCCTGTTATCTATTTTTTCATAAAGCAGACCATGGGTATAAATAATTTGGTCTGTGGGCCCAGCCTCATGGACCTCTGAGCCATTTTTGGCAGCCCACAGCCATACATAGGAAAGTTGAAGTTCTGTATCTCTTGAATAGCAAAGAGAAAGAAATGGCTCCATGCTTGTAAGGGACTGTGTGGATGACCTTGGGGAATGAAGGACAGAAAAGCTGCCTAGGAAACAATCATACGAGAGGCAGGAGCTCCCAGTGGCTTGACAGAGGAAGAAACTTAGGAAGGGATCTGTCCTAGTGGATAAAGCAGTTAAAAGGAGCAGCAGGAAATATGCACTTTCAGGCTTGCAAGATTTTGTTAATGCAGCTTCACACAATCAAGTAGAATTAATTCATCCAGTCATGCTTCCCATCTTGTTTATTTGAGAAGGCTGACAATACTTGAGCAGGACAAGCCAAAGGCAGGCACTCAAAACCAACCTCATGGATCACAGCTGACTCTGATCGCATTCTTTACAAGTGGACCAAGTTCTCATCATGTGGGACTAGGAATGTACATCCTTCCTTCTTTGCCTATATTCTATTCTATGCCTGCCAAGACTGACAAATTGCAGCAATACTTTCCTGCCATATACTTCATTACTGGATGTTTTTAAGGAGAGACTGGGCAGCCACTTGTCTGAAATGGTGTAGTTTCCTGCTTGAGTAGGGAGTTCAACTAGAAGACATCCAAGCTCTATTCTGATTGATTGATGGAGTAACCCAGTTACTATTGTTCTAAGCCAGGGGTATCAAACTCGATTTCATTGAGGGTTGTATCTGGGTAGTGTTTGACCTTGGGTGGCTGGGGTGGGCATGGCCAGGGTGGGTGTGGCTGGCATGACATCTCTTGTTTTGGGGGGTGCCTGTGGTGGCCCGAGCACTCAGCAGCAAAAACAGGTTCCTGAGCTCCGTTTTTGGCTGCGACAGCTTCCTGAAACCCCCTGACAGCGAAAATAGAGCTCAGGAGGGGCGTGTGTGGGCCTCGTGAGCTCTGTTTTCACTGGCAGAGGCACTGCAAGCCGGTCCTTTGCTACCACCAGCCCGGCCCTGTGGGCCAGATCTAAGCACCCTGGATCGGCCCCTGGCCCTTGAGTTTAACACTCCTGTTCTAAACGGAGTCTGAGCAGACATCTCCTTTCTCTCCCTCTTTTTCCCTGTCAATCACATTTGATATAATCTCACATCTTATATATTCAGAAATGGGCTGCAAGGCTTCCTTTAGAGGAGGGTTCCCAGCCCCTGGGTTGCAGTCCAATACTGTGCCATGGCCATTCAAATAGTGGGCAAGCAACCATATGTGCCCAGCTCTACTTGCATGATCGGAGAGTGTGCACACTCACATGCGCACCTGCTACTCACACAGAACCATCCCTTCTCCCTTCCCCCTCCCCCCAATCTGCCAAGCCAGAAAGTTTGGGGACCGCTGCTTTGGAGATCATCCTTACAGGTGAGAAAGACATGTTACTCTGAGGTACTTTGCTCTTTCCTGAGCCCTGAGAAAAACCAAAGGACATTTACTTGGAAAGTTGTGTGCATTCCATAGGCCAGACCATGGATTTATTAAACAAGTCATAGCAGCCTAGTTTACACATGATGCTAAACTATAAACCATGATTTAGAAAACAGTGTCTAAATTCACACATCCCAGGGCTTAATGAATGTCTAAATTCACACATCCCAGGGCTTAAATAGATTATGTTAATGACATAGATGAGGGAATAGAAGGGGAACTTACCAAATTTGCAGATGATACTAAGCTGGTAGCAATGGCTAACATCCAAGAAGGTAGGCTCAAGTTCCAGGTGGATCTTGACAGACTTGAACACTGGGCCCTATCTAACAAAATGAAATTCAATGTAGAGAAAAGTAAAGTCCTACACTTAGGCAAGAAAAACCAAAAGTACACATATACACTGGGTGAAACCAGGCTCAATAGCAGTAACTGTGAGAGGGATCTTGGAGTCTTAGTGGACAACCAGCTAAATAGGAGCCAGCAGCAGCAGCCAAAAAACCTAACACAGTCCTAAGTTTCATTAACTGAGGGATACAATCAAGATCAAGTGAGGTACTAATACCACTCTATAAAGCCTTAGTAAGACCACACCTAGAGTACTGCGTCCAGTTTTGGTCATCACACTATAAACAAGGCGTTGAGACTCTAGAAAAAGTACAGAGAAGAGAAACCAGGATGATTAGGGGACTGGAGATTAAAACATACAATGAACAGTTGCAGGAACTGGGCCTGGCTAGTCTAGTGAAGAGAAGGACTAGGGGAGACATGATAGCAGTCTTCCAATATTTGAGGGGCTGCCACAGAGAGAAGGGTGTCAAGCTATTTTCCAAAGCACCCAAAGGCCAGACAAGGAATAAGGGATGGAAACTGATCAAGGAGAGATTCAACCTGGAAAAAAGGAGAAACTTTCTAACACTGAGAACAATTAACCTGTGGAACAGAAGTTGCCTTCGGAAGTTGTAGGAGCGCCATCACTTGTGACTTTCAAGAAGAGATTAGACTCCCATCTGTCAGAAATGTACTAAGCTAAATTCCTCCTCCACTCTGGCTTAGAATAGCAAGCTCAGTGCTTGAATGTCCCCCGGTATTACCAACATAATTGTGTCAATCAGGACAGGCAAATCTTTGTGGTCATACCATACAAATGGACAGGGCAGAATATATTTTTTTCTGCTTTGTAGAGAGGGATGTTTCTTTTGCTGTTAAAACTATGTGAGGTCTATTTGAACTGGTATCCCAGTACTTAAATGTTACCATGTCAGTGTGAAATTTGACAGTGAAGTTAGTGGTGACCTGGAAGCCCCCAGGTTTCCCACGTGCTCTAACCCTGTGATTACGAACTTATGGCCTGCGTGCCGGAAGTGGCACGCAGAGCCATTACTGCTGGCACGCGAGCCCTCAGAGCAAATTTACCGTACATGCATGTGTGCCGCTCACCCGACAGTTGATTGTCAGATATATGGCATGCATGTGAGGGGGCGGGGGTTGCAGGCAATGCACGCACAT